AACATATTCTCAAGGGAAATGTATAGATCCAGTTTCAAATCAACAAATGGGGTCCAAAGAATCAAAAACCCCCAATTTTCATCAAGGTTTCACCAAATCCCATTCGAATTCCATTTGAAAATAAGATTTAAACCAAAAATCACCAAACTCGACTAAAACGAGTTCCACAAAGCTAAATCTGAAAATATAAAGTAAGTTTCAAAGAGTTTTACCTCGATCCAAGCTTTGATGTTGAAAATCTCTTAGAAATCCCCGTTTTTCTTCAAATCCGGTTCAAGAACGTTCTTGAGAGAGAGGAAAAACTTGAAAGAAAGAAAGAGGAAGAGATGGGCGAGAGAGAGAGAGAGAGCTCGGTGAGGGAGAGAGTAAGAGAGAGTGTGAGTGAGTGAGAGGGTTACGGGAGAGGAGGGAAAAGGAAAAGAAAGAAAGAAAAGAAAAGAAAAGAAAAGAAGAAAAGGAAAATAAAATGAGGAAAAGAAATAATAAAGAAAGACAAATAAAAGTAAAGAGGAGTGAAACTGTAATTACTAAAAATAAATTTAAAAGCTCATAATTAATTAAGAAATCAATTTATGCACACTAATAAACCACAATTATCATAATTAAATAAATTTAATTCTAAAAAGCGTTACAATTCTCCGTTATGTTTGTTGTTTCTCAAGCATTGCGTAATGCCATGCAACTTGGGTGTCCTTGAGTACTATTCATGTTAGATTTATGCTCTAATGCAGGAGAAAAGGCAATATGAATTCTCTTTTTTTTTTTTTTTTTTTTTGGAGAAAAAATTAATGCAATATGAATTCTTGACTAATATAGCGATGCTCAAGTACTCTGTTAGGGCTTTTATTCAACATTTCCCACATGGTGCATTGTACTCTTTTACAATTACTGTAATACAATATTTACCTTCAACCACACGTATATTATAACGTTTTTATACATGTATACACGCATTGAGAATTGAACAAATTATCAAGTCGACGCTAATGTTAAGAATATTATACATTATTCAAGCATTACACTTGCAGTACTTGTTGAGTCTAGTTGGCCGTTGTTGAATGAACCAAACAAACATGATGAGTTCAAAATCTCTAATTGTAGATAATATATATACCGTCACACTCAATAATATTATTATTGCTTAGAAAGAATTAATGGGCTGGTAATGTTAAGCACCAAAATAAAGACTTCAAGAAAAGAAAAGGTCTTATAAACTTCAAATTCAAGATGGAACGGATTTAATTGAAATAAATAGTTCAGTTATATATAAATATATCTTAGGTTGTTGTTTTTATTCACTCATTTAGTTTTTGTTTGCTTTGAAAGTTTGGGTGAGTTTAGAATTCGTTTCAAAATAATTTTATTTTTTGTATGATAAACATTCAACCTAAATCAGAAAAAAGGAAAAGAAAAAAAAAAAGCTTTAGTTAGTACTTTGGTTGTCGGTTTGAGTTCCACTGGTTTCAGTTTTCAATATCGTCAAGGTCTGTTTTGTTTGTTAATTTAAATTTTTAATTTGAGTTAAAATATAATTTTATATTAGAATTTTTTACTGTAATAAAAAAATTAAATATGGAGCAGCGTTCCGATCAGAATCAAATGGATCAAGTTTTGAGCTCAAGTACGAGTGGGACCCACATGGAGGAGAGCTTGCCGTACGCCCATGTCGACTCCAGCCTGCGAGCCTTGGCCGCCCAGGCACAGGGCTTCGGCCGCTTCGCCATCGGCGGCCTCCATGGTTCCGTTTATCACGTCACCACTTTAGCCGGTAATTTTATTATTTTTTTTTTTTAAAGAAAATATCTTCTTGATCATATATTTTGGGTTTTGGAAAGCTGAGTTTTTTTTTTTTTTTTTTTTTTTTTTTTTTTTTTTTTTGTGATTTTGTTGATGCGATTTGAGTGGGGATTGGAATAGGTACATTTTGCTTCAAATTTCTTTCTTTTTTTTTTTGTGAAAAATCTATTCACTTTCTTTGTTTAGGAATTCACTTAATTTGATTGTTTTTGGGAGTTGAAAGTTGAGATCTTTTTGTGGTTTTTATTGCGTTGTTCTTAGTGGGGAAGGGGTTTTATGGAGGTTAGACTAGCTGCATTTTGCTCAAATTTTGTCAATTTTTTTTATTTTTCTCAAATATATATTTACTTCCTCTTTTTATCAATTCCCTCAATTTGTTTGTTTTGGGATTTAAATTTGAGATCTTTTTGTGATTATTGTTGTACTCACTCAATTTTTGTGCTATAAAAAGAAAGAGAATAAAACTTCCTTTTTTTTTTTGAAGTCCCTCAATTTGTTTGGTTTGAGTCTTGAAAGCATTTATCTAAACCATTTATTGTTTGATCTTTTTGTAATTTTACTGTTGTGTTTGGACCGGGGAAGTAGTTTATGGAGGTTAGAATGGCTGCATTCCCTCAGTTTTAGTTCAGTTTTTTGTTGTTTGTGCTTGGGAATAGGACACATTTATCAGAAGTTCTCTAGATTGAGAGAATTCTGCAATTAGTATTGAATCGGAATTTAGCGATTAGCTAGCAAAAAATTTGTTGTTTGTGTGTGAAGATAAATCTCTTGGCTGAGTTTTTTTTTTTTTTTTAATATGCAATTTGTCTTGCCCGAGGAATTTTTATTTTTATTTTACACCTGGACTTTATTCTGTTTTTGCTGCTATATTGTTGTTTGAATTTAGTTGATAATATGTTTTTGCTTTCTGAGTGTGTGGGAAGATACTGGAGAGAGGAATAATGTACTTTTAAATGTTGGATTTCCTTTTTGCTGATTAAATGTTGTTGGACCTAAGTTGATAATGGGACTCGCTAAAATTTGAATTCAAAAATTCTTTTTTTTCCAAATTGACTTTCTAAACATTTTAATGTGTTTGTATGTTGGTGTACTTGAAGAGGATGGCCCCGGATCACTTCGAGAAGGATGTCGAAAGAAAGAGCCGCTTTGGATTGTGTTTGATGTGTCAGGCACCATTTGTCTCTCATCTTACCTGAACGTGTCGTCCTATAAGACTGTTGATGGCCGAGGCCAGAGAATAAAACTTACTGGGAAAGGCTTGAGGTTGAAGGAATGTGAACATGTTATCATATGCAATTTGGAGTTTGAAGGTGGTAGAGGACCCGATGTCGATGGCATTCAAATAAAGCCTAAATCCCAGCACATTTGGATTGACCGGTGCAGCCTTCGCGATTATGATGATGGACTTATAGACATAACGAGGGAAAGCACCGATATCACCATCTCTAGGTGGGCTTAACTCCCCTGGTTTTGAGATTTAACAAGTCTTTTCTGTTTCAAGTTCTAAATCTTCTCTTGGGGCACTGGGTGCAGGTGTCATTTTGCGAAGCACGACAAGACGATGCTCATCGGAGCAGACCCCTCTCACGTCGGGGATAGGTGCATCCAGGTGACAATTCACCACTGTTTCTTTGATGGGACCCGACAGCGGCATCCGCGAGTTAGATATGGAAAAGTGCACCTCTACAATAACTACACCAGAAACTGGGGCATATATGCCGTCTGTGCCAGTGTAGAATCCCAGGTGGCAATGATTCTTTGTTTTGCATTTCTACATTGGTTTCAAGGACTTATCCCCATCATTGGTTGATCTGATTGTTTGGAATTTTCTTATACGCCAGATATACTCCCAATGCAATATATATGAAGCAGGGCAGAAGAAAATAGCATTTAAGTTCTACACTGAGAAGGTATTTTGCTTTTCTTTCCCTTTATTCACAGAGAACCTATCTGGATTTTTCATGAGTTTTATGGATAAAATTGTGAGATTAGTCGAAAGTACACGTGTAGAAGGTTCCTCAATATTTAAGTTTTTCACAAGTTGACAATTCATACAGCGAAATGTGGTTTCCTTTCGGGAGCTACGACATGGGAAAGTAGGAGTCGCCTTTCTGGTTATAAGCATACACTCTAACTTCAGAAGGCGTATAGCTAGATTAATTTGTAGATATAAATATTAAGTTGCGGGATAATTGCATACGCTAATCATTTGACTTGAAATTTGTCGTTTGCATAATCAGAATTATGCTCTGGATTATCTCTGTTTGATTACAATATGCGGTTAAAAGCTTCCTCAGTCTTGGAAACAAGAAAAAATGGTGCAACTTTGGGAAAATGGCCCGGGAAACTCGAATTATGTTGGTGATTTTTTGTACAGACTCGAAAATTAGTGAAGAATGCAGGTGATAGATGTAGTATTAGGGATGACTTTACAGTTTTTGAAAGGATCTTGCAGAATGCAGTTTTTCATCCAACTCGAGATTTGTGTAATGACAAAATAGGATCTTGGTTTGCCACTACGTGGTTATTAGAACAAATTTTTGGTTGTTGTGATGGTTATGCAGGCAGCTGACAAGGAAGGGGCAGCAACTGGCTGCATAAGATCCGAAGGGGACCTATTCGTGTGCGGAACTCAACACGGCCTGATGGCTGAGAGCGGTGGACATGGTGTGTTTCATCCTAGTGAATACTACCCTACATGGACTGTCGCTCCAGCCGCGGATGCCCTCAAACATCTCCTTAAACACTGTACCGGATGGCAATGTGTTCCGCGACCAGCTGATCAGAAATGCGACGCAAAGTAGCCCGCCGATCCATACTAGTTTTTTTTTTTTAAAGTAAATATTGGAATCCTCAGCTGTAAATTTATTTCTTATGTATTCACGTGTAAAATAATTGGGACAATTTAGCATATCGAAGACTCATTTTGGGATAATTTATGAGGTCAATGGGATTTGGCATATAATTCGTAGATTAAAATTGGGTCCCAAGTAGTGTATTCTCATTGGTGAGACTAAAAATCATGGCTACACTATATTCTTGTTTCATTATCCTAGTAGTATACCAAGTAAACCACCTACTTTTATTAGTGCTTAGAGTTGAATTATCTTTCCCTTTCAATTGTTTAATGCCCTGATGAAGGGCTTCATGGACCATATAAGATCATGAAAGATTTATCATTTTGGTCACATATTTAGATCTTATTTGTTCTGTCCACACAAGTTTGTGTTGTGAAAGAAGCAACGAGTATCAATGTTTGAAATTAGACACAATTCACTGGTGGGGAAAGTTCTGGAAGAAAATGGGCTTAACCTTATATGACAGTCTGTAACACATAATTATTCATATATAAGTTTAATGTTGGATTACGAATACAACAAAGTTCACTTATTAAAATGTTGTTTGAGAGTTGGACCCGGCATTTAAGGAGTCTTAGGTCCCGTATATTTTACCGATTTGAGTTTACAATTTGAGTTTTGTTTCAGTAAAAAACTCTTAGAAACAGTCACATCAAACTTTTTTACTACAGTAAAAAACTCTCACATAAAGTCACATCTTAAGTCAAATTAAAAACTTGAATTAGCGAGCTAAACAGACCCTTAATATGTTGTAAGAAATGTTAAAAAGTTTAGGAGTTGTTATAAATATTTTTATGTTTGGTACAATAATGATTTGATCTGATGGCTAGAATTTTACAAAAATTTTTAGCTCGACCAGATGATATTCTTAAGAAGTTAGTTTATACTTTAGATGTGTTTCAAAAACAGGGAAATGTACGGCATAACTTTGAAAAAATTTACATCTTATGGGGTATCGAGAATCTCAAACATTTGATTCTTTGAACATAGAAAACATCAAAGATTGTATATATATAAAAAGTGATTTATTAGAAAATTCGTTATATATATATATATA